CATTTTTCAATTTATTTCACTATGAAAATGAGCTTGCAGAGACATCAAACTCGCTCCAATAAGGTAATCCATCACAGTGGACATCTTGTCTACTTTTATTTTCACCACATTATGTGATTGTTATAAGGTAATGCGGTGCAGATTTTTCCAATCAATCTGCTGGCATTCATCCTTTAAGCACATCATCTGAGCACTTTTTGTTGCTCTTGGTGCATCCAATTAAAAACCTGGATGTGCGCATAACATCGTTTCTCACACGTCGCACCGTGCTGCTCTCCTGCTGTGATCTATGACATTAATTCATCAGCAGCTGTGTTTGTCTGGACACAGGGTGCTAGGTGATATTAGCTGTGACTGATCAACACCACATGTGGATCCCAACCTGGGAACCAGAGCAGAGTCATTCCAGACATCAGCCCTCAGATTTCTGTATTTTCCTGGACACCGGTTCCAAATCTCCAAAACTTTAACATTGTGTTATTCATAAAACAGAAAATGAGCTACTTCAGTTTCAGTTGCATCCAGGAAAACAAAAGTTTAATTTGTCAAATTTGTGAACTATTTTTAAAGAGGTGTTTTTTTTAGCTCTAACACCAAACTTTAAACTCTGCTTCTTCCTCTCTGTGGTTGATCTCGCTGGCATGGCTCCAGTAATGTGCTACGCTCCCTGATGGTCCCCATGAGTAATCATCGGTCACCACAATGGATCCAACAACACTAATTTGTGTCTTTCCTGTTTTTGCCTTTACCTTTTCCCAGAGCTGACTCTGATTCATGCCTTCCTAATTGGCACTCTGCACCTAGTACCACCCTGACAGGACTCTCTGTGGTCAGATACCGCTGATATACAACGATTTCAGAGAGGCCGCTGCTGAAGAGATTGATTCCTTCCTCTGTTGAGATTCCTTGGCATTACTCAGACGGAGAAGGTAAGCTTTCAGTGGAATTCCCTGTATAGGTTTCCTCCTCTGAGCAGTTGCAGGCAGAAGATGCCCCTAAAGTTAAGTGGTTTGTTCTTTGGGCTCCAACTGTCCTGAATGTGTTTAATAACCTTTAAAATAATCAGGAAAATAGAGATCTGAATGGGTTTACAGCTCCAGGAGCCTGCTGTTTTTTGCAGCTTCACTGCTTTCTAAACTAATGCTGCTGTGTTAAAGGGTCAGTTCACACAAATTACTTAAACATATTTTGTCACTTACCCCTTATAGTATCCGGCCATGCAGATTTCTGTTTCCACCCCATATACAGTAGCCCTGGACAGTCCACAGAACAGGCTGTCTGCACTTCTTAACTGTCTCTGCTAAGAGATATTTGCTATTGTAAAACTATCTGCATGACTAGATACCAATAGCGGTCATTTAAAATTTTAATTATGTTTTTTTTTTGCAAACTGAGTGAACTAGCGTGAGTGTAGCTAGTGTTAGCAAAACTTTTAATGTTTAGTTAGCAAGCGTTTTCCTAATATCAGCATTCAGATGTAAGTAGCTAGCTAAATTGGCCATAGATTAGCTAGTTAGCTAATGTTTTGCCAACATTATCTAGTTAACTTTTTCTTTAAACCATCTTCAAAATGT